AGGATACAGAGACACTGCAGTTTAAATAGGCTTTTACTTTTGTGGAAATAGAGGTATCAGAATCCATCAAAGTCCAAGTCATACAAGGATAAGTCAGTCAGTCATCAATGTCTTTCAGTTAAGGGATAATCCAAATAACATAGTTCAGTATCATACAATCAGTCCAATACACAAAGTTTGCTAGCAGTTGCAAAAATTACAATAGCTCACTGCACTTCCAGATCAGCCCAGCATCTAACAAACAGAGAGAGCTAACAGTCATTCTGGTTCCCTCTTAAGGCCGATTGAAGAAAACAGCAACCAATCACATTTTGCAGTATGATTTAAACAAACAGGTACAACATTGTTACATGATTTATATATTGCCAACCCAACCGTTAGATTATATTCCTAACACATACAGTCCTGGAGCTGCCCTGTTTACTTTCCCTCCAATCCCCCTAACACTCCCAGGCTCTTTCTCTTTTTTAACGCTCAGGAATGTCTGCAGGGGAGATTTTTTTTAAAAAAGTCTTAGTTGTTGCCCTGACTAGCATGTAAAAAGGGCCCAGGGCTCTGATTGTGCAATTACAGGTAGCCTTTGACTGAGAGCCAGGGTGGGCTTCAAAAGTTTTAGCAAAGGGTTTTCTGCCCGGTTGCTGGGTGGGCATGGCCATGGTAGGCATGCCCTCCTACACCACGGTGGGAGGAGGCCTTTCTTCAAGCCTCCAGGAAGGCGAAAACGATCTCCCTAGGCTCCAGAGGCCTTCTGGAACCTGGAAACGGGCCTGTTTCCGGCCTTCCCGAACTTCTGGTAGGCCTGTTTTTCACCCTCCCTGAGCTTCCATGTGCACCCTGCACTTACCTGTATCCAAAATGGGCCAGGTGGGGACTCCTGGGAGGGGTGGGCAGGGTCAGCCGAGAGTGGGATTTGGGGGTTCTCCGAACTGCACAGAATCTTAGAGTCTCCATAGACTTTCTGGTTATCTAGGAAGTTATCTAGAAGACAATTTGAAGGGAATGGAGACAGCCCACAAGATCTCTCTTCTTATTAATAAGTTTGTTCAAAAGGGCACATCTTTGACACATCTTTGAGTGCTGTCTGTGAGTGCTTTCTATAAGCAAAGTTGTGCCAAGAAAAGGAATAAAAGGTCCTCTACACTGATGATTTTGATTGAATTTGTTTTGTTGTAAATGGTAAATCGCCAGCCACCTGCCTTTCAGCTATTCAGTTTTTTGATTGTGTAAGAAAAAAATGCCCTGTGTACTCTGTATTGGTAATGAATCTGTCTTTAGAAGAAGAAACACAATGAGATGTAATGCCTCATGCATGAATATTCAAGAAAGAATATGACTCAATCAGTAATGAAAGCAATGGACAATATTCTCTTAATTGTTCCCAGAAGGTTCAATACAATTCCGTTCTAGTCTCTAGACACACTTTAAAAATGAAATTAAATCAAGTTGACTCTCTGCCCTGTGTACTTTGCAAATAATCACCTCCTTGAAAATATATCGACACCATTTCCTTGCTGGTTTCCTGTCCTTATTCTTCGCAAAAAAAAAGAAAAAGAAAAAGAAAGAAGAAAAAAACCTTGACACAAAAGCATGATAATGTTAAGAAAAGAAAAAGAGTAGAAAAAAATTTATCAATGCCCCACAAAATTGTCTTCAAACTGTTTTCTCTTCAGTGGCTTTGGTATCGATTTTTTGTTGCATGAATGAATCTGTCATCTCCTAACAGGGTTTTGGCGGATGATATGGGAACTTTACAATATCAAAAACTGTTTTGTTGTGCAAAATTTGATTTCAGAAGAGAGAGGTCTGAGAGGGTCTAAGCATATAGAAATAAATAGAATCTAGAGAGGTTTTCAACAGTGCTAGAGTGTGTAAATGCTGGGTTCTAGAAGTCAAGGCTATTGGGGAATTGATATAGATGTTGCTTTGGTGGGGTAATTCGGCCAAATCCTGATTTCCATGCTTTCTCAGTCATTGCTTTCAATGGACATCAAATGATGGAGAAAAAAACATGTTGACATGGGATAGACTGAGAAAAGTGAGGCTGAGTTAGAAGGAACATTCTTTCCTCTTGAAAAAAGGCTGAATGTATCTTAATAGAATAAGATTCAAACTCTGAGTATCTTGACTAGCCTTTATGAATGTCAAGGCAGAATTAGCAATGTGTCAGGAAAGAACAGGAGCTGAATATGCAAGTATTAGGAGGAACTAGAACTCAGGTAAGCAACTATAAAGTTTTTTTTTCTTAGCAGGGATAGATTAAAAATATGAGAACAGATACATTGCTTTTATTCTTTAAATGTAGATAAAGGTAAAGGTTCCCCTCGCACATATGTGCTAGTTGTTCCCGACTCTAGGGGGCTATGCTCATCTCCGTTTCAGAACTAAAGAGCCAGCGCTGTCCGAAGTTGTCTCCGTGGTCATATGGCTGGCATGACTAAATGNTGGAGCACCATACTGGAACAGTACCCAGTGCTCCGGGCAGGATCCGGTACTGCTTGCAACCCACCACTGATTTAGGCACAGCTGGGCAAAGGCCATACTCTATTTCTAAGGCAAATATGTTGTGACACGCCCTCCCATTTCTAATGGGGCTTCCTGCTACTTATTTACTTAGTATTCTTTTTACACTCTGCATATGTTCAGGAGCACACAATTTGCTGAATTCAAATCTCCAAGAATAATTTATACCACAAAGCAGAAAAAGAGCAAACAGTTTTGGTTTCCATAATTTGTCTAATTATAAAGAATGGACTTTTAATTTATGATCCTTTTTTAGTCGCCCAGGTGTGAGATCTGCTGTAAACAGCCTTTCTCTATGTTAGTCATCATCATCAAACCACAGAAGCAGCTTCTGTTCCCAGCCTCCAGATGGGGATTGAAAAATGGAAAGAATTCTGAGGCAGAAGACTTGGCTCCATTCAGTCACATCGATTAGAAAACGGCAAATGTAACAGAGCTAACTTTTCACATTGTGAAGTAATAAACATGTATAAACCAAAGATGATAAAATCAAACATTTATGTGTCCCATTTATTTATTTACAGTGCCTGGAAACCATAAGGGCTGCATATGGAGAAACCAGCTGCAACTCAAGCTTAGCAAGACAGAGTGGTTGTGGCTTTTTGTCCCCTCAGGGTCAGGAAAGTTGACATCTCTGACCTGGGATGGGGTAACACTCCCATATACAGATTTGGTGTGCAATGGGAAGGGGGTGGGGACTAATGGCTCCTGTTGCAAGAGCAGTTAACACCTGGGGTTGGCTTTGTACATATTTATCTTATATGCCAATTATTCCCATTGCTGGACTGGGAGGCCTTGCTCACAGTTACCCATTGCTTAATCATCTTCTGTTTGAATTACCCTGTTTCCCTGAAAATAAGACCTCCCAATTGGGATTTTGAGAGTATGTGCTAAAACAAGCCCCCCCTCCCCCAAAATAAGCCCTCCCCTAAAATATTTAACTGCATATGCAGCCAGTCCCTGCCATTTCATGTGTGTGTGAGAAACATGCCCCACACACCCCACATACACCTGGCATCCATGCGGAATGGCCTTGCAGAGGCCGCTCCCGCAAACCCAAGCTACGGTGCCCCTTCTCTTAGTGGTGGCCACAAAAAGAGCAGCAGGCCCAGGGACACTAGGGCTGGCAAGAATGTGCCAGAAACAGAGACAGAACTTCCAGCCCTCTCTGGATCAGCTGATCCATGGGCTGCGGGCCAAGGTTAAGGGACCTCCTGTACCTCAAAATAATAAGACCTCCCCAAAAATAAGGCCAAGCACTTATTTCGGGGGTCAAAAGACAGGCTCTTATTTTCAGGGAATCATGGTACTGCTGTGTGCTACACAAGGGGCATTCCTTGGAGACCTTTCAGAAGCTGGTTCAGAAATTGTAATGGGCTGTGTGAATGACCTTGGGGAATGAGGGGCAGAGGTTCTGCCTAGGAAACAATCAGACAAGAGAGACTGGAACCCCCAATGGATTGACAGTCGGAGAAAGAAACTTGGGGAAAAACCCACCTTAATTGGTCAAAAGGTTAAAAGCAGCAGTGAGATGTTTGTGTCTTCAGATTTGCAAAATTCTGTTAACGTAGCCTTACAATAAAATACAATTGTGTTTTCTGTGTGGTCTACTTGACAAGGCGGATAGGAATTTTACAAGTCTCAAAATTTAGATCTCCCACTGTCTCTTTTTACAGACTGATAAGTTAGGTAGGATCTTTCTGAGTTTCTCTGAGTCTGTTGTGCAGCTGCAGGTTGTCCTCCCTATCAGATAATTCTCTAGGTAACTTCTTTCTCCCCCGCATCTTTCCCAAATTCCATCATATTGTCCCAGCCCTTTGGGACAGCCTCCCACCTGAAATCCCTTCCCTTTTAGTTTTCAGAAGGCTGTGAAGATCTAGAATTCCCTCAAGCTTTGGGCTAGGATGAGGGTTTATTTGTGAGTCTGTTTGGTCCAGGGCCTGAAGACAGGCACCTTCATTTTTAACCATGTTTTATGGATTGTTATGAACTGCTTAATTATTGTACTTATTTATTATTAAATTAATTGGTTGTCCATCTTACCACAGGGAAACCCTGAGTAGCTGTTGTATGAGATGGGTGGCCATATAAGTAGTACAATTAAAATAAATTTACTTAAAATTGCCTGACCAAATTATTGGAAACCTTCTGTGCATTGTTAAAAACCAACCACCTCATTTTTTTTCTTGATTTGCTGTTTGGCTAAGTTTGTCCGCCAGAGATGGCCAAAAAACTCATAATGGTACTAACTGCATGATCAAAGCCAGTGGTGGGATCCTGCCGGTTTAACAACCGGTTCGGGGTGATCTCACGCTTTGCGCATGCACTCTCTCCACATGCATGGAGAGAGTGCATGCATTTTAAGAATACTTACCTTCCGCATTACTGATGGGGAGTAACCCAGCTGAGGCGCAGCAATCCGCTCTCCCACGCGAATGAGCTGAGAAGATATAGGTCAATACAGCGCAGGGGGGAGTGGCCCCACCTCATTGTTGGAGCGAACTGGTTTGCTCCCAGCTGATCGTCGGGGCTACCAGTTCACCCGAACCAGTCTGAACCGGCAGAATCCCATCCCTGATCAAAGCCCTACCCTTTTTTACATGATATAATATGTTGCAGTCATGGATAAAAACAGGGAATTTGTGCAGTTGTAGCTGTCATCTTGACTGTTATAACCTTTCCTGCAGTTGCCAATGTTCAATCATCAGTGGGTCAGGTGGAACTGATCTGGAAACAAAACAATTTGATATTTTCATTAAAGATTTTGCCAATGATAATTGCCATGCATATAATTTCTGAATGAGAAAAATGAGACCTACGCACGCTTCCAGAAACAGTTTATGATTGGTGAAATAAGTTACCATTAAACAAGATTGTTGCTATACAGTGGAAATGGGGGTCACTTTAAAAAGCCTAAGGGGGAATTATTACTACTTCCATTCAAGCCAGATCTGTTCCACATGGGCATGCTTCCATAATAAGAAGTACAACTTTTAATGACTTTGCGTAATCCTCATTCATTCTCATCAACAAACCATCTGTTCCTAAATGGTAATTTCTACTCCAGCAATTTTATGCTGCAGCACTGAACTTCAATATTTAGATTGAAGTAGAACTACTAGATTTGATCTGAATTTCCCTAAAGGCAGTAAAAAGATACTATAAACTCTGACCTTGGCTGCCATCTACTGGTTGTCTGGATGTTTGCAGTCCATATCTCATATCTCTAAGGCACGAGTGTCAAACTTGATCACGTCAAGGGCTGAATTGTGATGTATTGCTATGTTTTTTGCCTTTGTGTAGCCCGGGTGGGCGTGACCTGCCTGTGATGTATCTGGCTCGTGTGCCGCCAGTTTGACAGGCCTGGTCTAAGACTTAAGCCATTCCTTATTGGCAAATAATTGGCATTAATTGAAAACCTTCTAATAAATAAAAGACACAAATAAGCCTACCAGGTTAATAAAGCACCCTCAGTATTTTGGGAAACCTAAAAATAACATGATAGAAATATCCTGTGGGACTGGATTTTTTTAAAAAAAATTATTATTATTATTATTATTATTATTATTATTATTATTATTATTATTATTATTATTATTATTATT